GGAATTGGCCCAAATAACTGTACACTATATTGCATCTTCTAAAAAGGTGGTCATAGCGTTCCATCATATGTAAACAATGAAAGGTAAAGTAGGGTAATTTATCAGAGATAAGGACTAGAAAATTATGCTTGTCTCAGGATAAAACAAACAAGCACTAAAATATGCAAATAAAGAGCAGACTGTATTCAGTATTTAAATATGTGAAGCTTTTGATCTGCAAATAAAGGTCTTATGATTCAGGCTGTTGGAAATCTTATGATTCAGACTGTGGGAAATGCTTTGTGTGCCAGACCCAATTTCCCCCTTCTTTCTCTTCTAGGTCTATTTAAAAGCCCTGCCCTCCATTCAGTGACTATTTTAGCTTAAAAAAAAAAAAAAGCACTATCCTTGAAAGATTGTATGTTTCTGGGGAGTGCATATATGGAAATTAACCTTCATGAACATACAACTCAGAAATACCTTCAACTTGACCCAAATTCACCCTTATCAGGAAAGTTTAAGCTCTTATGAGCTTGGTCAGGTTAATCCTTTTTTTTCTTTTAAATGCATTTAAAAATTTTAAAACCTCCATTTCTGGTTGGTGGAATCTATGTCTCATACAGGATACTAGGAAAATTATTTTAATATTCAGTTATCCCCATGATACATTTCAAGTAGACTGCAAAGCAAAAATGTAAAAAGCAGTGTAAACCATAACACAGTCAAACGAGAGCAATAAAACCAGTTCTCAGTTCAAAGGCCAGAGGTATCCTCATATTTTCACTGCCCACCTTTCTGAAAGAATTCCGCCACTGCCTTTGAAAAGTACCTGGAAATGGCAGCTGCCCACAGTACAGCAGTCACCTCTTGCACCTGAGAGCAAAGTCACTCAGATATTGGGTGTGGATTATCAGTTAACAGGTTGCAAGGTTCTGGTTTTAATCTGTGAACTCCTAATATGGTTTTGAATTGAGTCTGCCCATCATGCTCTCTCCTTTTAGCAGGAGATGCTTTTGGTTTCTTTTCTCCAAGGGTTGGGAATTTGGGATCAGGCCTTCTCAGTAGCTTCCCCATCTCTGTAGAACTCTCTTCCTCCCCACTACCACCAAGGTTCAGGTGACCCCCATTCAGGAGGGTGGTTGAAATAGTGTTATGCTGGTCATCTGGATACTGAACATCATTGTGCCATTTTGTGTTATGGGGGGCTGGGCTGGATTCTACTGTTGCTCATATAATTTTTTAAGGGTTATTTTACAGTATAGGGTTTATTCTAAGTTTTGGGAGGAAGTTGTTGGGTTTGTTTTATGGATTTTTACTGTGAGCCATCTAGAGCAGTGTTTCTCAACCTTGACAACTTTAATATGTGTGGACTTCAACTCCCAGAATTCCCCCCACCCATGCTGGCTGGGGAATTTTTGGAGTTGAAGTCCACACGTCTTAAAGTTGTCACTGGGAGTGCTGCCACAGAAAACAACTTCTCTGCTGTTACCATGAACCAGATCTTTTTTTAAAAAAATTATGGTAGTGAAACTTAAAACCTCACTTTAGATGCAGGCAGGGAGGAGGCAGTCTTTCAAATACAGTATCAATGGGCTTATGATACAGGTAAACATCACCCTTGTTGAATTAGCCTTTAAATAAGTTAGAGGTCAGTGTAATTGATTTAAGACTGGTGTAAAATACTGTACTCTGAAAAATGTGCATCGGCTGCAGTTTCTAAATAGTTTCTAAAGTCTCTCCTATCCTAAACGAAGGAATATTGCAACTGAACATGACAGACAAGATATATAACAAAAGTCAGTAGCCTTTTGAATCAGAAAAAAACATGATCTGTGATGATTCCACTCAGGAGTAGATAAGTGATGCATGTGTTCAATCTATCCTGTGCTCCTTATTTTCCTTCTGCAGAGACATTATGTCTGACACTGAAGAAAACCAAATAGATTGAATGGTGAAAAGTAGGTTCAGAAAGTGTACCTCTTTTATTGTCATCGATTCTCTATTTTATAGAAGACTAATTTCATACTAGAGAGCCAGTTTGGTGTAGTGGTTAAGGAATCAGGCTAGAAACCCAGAGACCGTGCGTTCTAGTCCCGCCTTGGGCACAAAGCCAGCTGGGTGACCTTGGGCCAGTCACTCTCTCTC